GTGTTCCTGATGGGGCGTTTGACAGCCTCACCAACCTGGAGACCATGAATCTGTTTAACAACCCCTGGGATTGTAACACTGAGATGGCTGTAGACTTGAAGCAAGGCTGAGAATGTTTCCTTACTGAGGCGTGAATCCAACTTCCTAAACCCTTCAACGGACCAGAAGTTAAAAACCCCTTAGCACTATCCAATAACAATGAGAAAGGTACAGAAAGCTGGTTTCTCACAGTAAGTCTATACACCTCCGATTAGCACGGTTGGCTATGTACGGTGCGAAATAAATTCAACAGTGTACATACATACACACGCGTATATACAATTCTATAGCATGATTGGACTTTAACACGATCAAAAGAACGCGTAGGCAGGCACTTGGTAGGTATGTGTGGTGTGGGTGAGAGGTATGTTGTACGGCACGTGTGTAGAGGTGGGTGTGTGTGTTGTGGGTGATAGGTATGTTGTACGGCACGTGTGTAGAGGTATGTGTGTGTGGTGTGAGTGAGAGGTATGTTGTACGGCACGTGTGTAGAGGTGGGTGTGTGTGGTGTGGGGTATAGGTATGTTGTACGGCACGTGTGTACAGGTGTGTGTGTGTGGTGTGAGTGAGAGGTATGTTGTACGGCACGTGTGTAGAGGTGGGTGTGTGTGGTGTGGGTGAGAGATATGTTGTACGGTACGTGTGTAGAGGTAGGTGTGTGTGGTGTGGGTGAGAGGTATGTTGTACGGTACGTGTGTAGAGGTGGGTGTGTGTAGTGTGGGTGATAGGTATGTTGTACGGTACGTGTGTACAGGTGTGTGTGTGTGGTGTGGGTGATAGGTATGTTGTACGGCACGTGTGTACAGGTGTGTGTGTGTGTGGTGTGAGTGAGAGGTATGTTGTACGGCACGTGTGTAGAGGTAGGTACGTGTGGTGTGGGTGAGAGGTATGTTGTACGGCACGTGTGTAGCTCAGAGGTAGGTGTGTGTGGTGTGGGTGAGAGGTATGTTGTACGGCACGTGTGTACAGGTGTGTGTGTGTGTGGTGTGAGTGAGAGGTATGTTGTACGGCACGTGTGTAGAGGTAGGTACGTGTGGTGTAGGTGAGAGGTATGTTGTACGGCACGTGTGTAGCTCAGAGGTAGGTGTGTGTGGTGTGGGTGAGAGGTATGTTGTACGGTACGTGTGTAGAGGTAGGTGTGTGTGGTGTATGATGGTTGGTGGTATACAAGGTGGCTCAAAAGTCAGGATACGCAGGATGATTGCATTTATTTTAACACTGTCATTAACATATTTGAAACGTGTATTTAAAATAATATTTAATATATTATCATTATAAATTCATATTTTTCTTCTTATTTTGAGATTTTATTTACAAATTGAAAGAATATGTACTCAAGACAAACGAGTTCAATTCGTTTTTACGTATTATAAAGAAGGCAGCTTTAATCGCAAAATTAATCTCAAAATAATTAATGTATGTGTTCGTATTAATGTTAGTCAGCTTCAACATTTGTTAAAATAAATAAAATAACCCTATGTGATTTGTTAAAGTAGGTAATTATAATGATCCTATGTGATTTGTTAAAGTAAATATGAAACCCTATGTGCCACGACTTTTGGGCCACCCTGTCTGTAGCGATGAGACGCGACTGGGTGGTTTGTCAACGGGCCCCAGTGTCCAAGTGGAATGTCCAAGTGGAGTGTCCGAGTGGAGTGTCCAAGTGGAGTGTCCAAGTGCTATGTCCCAAGTGGAGTGTCCAAGTGGAATGTCCAAGTGGAATGTCCGAGTGGAGTGTCCGAGTGGAATGTCCAAGTGGAATGTCCAAGTGGAGTGTCCAAGTGGAATGTCCAAGTGGAGTGTCCGAGTGGAATGTCCAAGTGGAGTGTCCAAGTGGAATGTCCCAAGTGGAGTGTCCAAGTGGAGTGTCCAAGTGGAGTGTCCAAGTGGAATGTCCCAAGTGGAATGTCCAAGTGGAGTGTCCAAGTTGAGTGTCCAAGTGGAATGTCCAAGTGGAGTGTCCAAGTGGAGTGTCCAAGTGGAATGTCCAAGTGGAGTGTCCAAGTGGAATGTCCAAGTGGAGTGTCCGAGTGGAGTGTCCGAGTGGAATGTCCAAGTGGAGTGTTCGAGTGGAATGTCCAAGTGGAATGTCCGAGTGGAGTGTCCGAGTGGAATGTCCAAGTGGAATGTCCAAGTGGAGTGTCCAAGTGGAATATCCCAAGTGGAGTGTCCAAGTGGAGTGTCCAAGTGGAATGTCCCAAGTGGAATGTCCAAGTGGAGTGTCCAAGTGGAATGTCCAAGTGGAGTGTCCAAGTGGAATGTCCAAGTGGAGTGTCCGAGTGGAGTGTCCGAGTGGAATGTCCAAGTGGAGTGTTCGAGTGGAATGTCCAAGTGGAATGTCCAAGTGGAGTGTCCAAGTGGAGTGTCCAAGTGGAATGTCCAAGTTGAGTATCCAAGTAAAGTGTCCAAGTGGAGTGTCCGAGTGGAGTGTCCGAGTGGAATGTCCGAGTGGAGTGTCCAAGTAGAGTGTCCAAGTGGAATGTCCGAGTGGAATGTCCAAGTGGAATGTCCAAGTGGAATGTCTAAGTGGAATGTCCAAGTGGATTGTCCGAGTGGAGTGTCCAAGTGGAGTATCCAAGTGGAATGTCCAAGTGGAGTGTCGGAGTGGAATGTCCAAGTGGAATGTCCAAGTGGAGTGTCCAAGTGGAGTGTCCAAGTGGAGTGTCCGAGTGGAATGTCCAAGTGCAATGTCCAAGTGGAATGTCTAAGTGGAATGTCCAAGTGGAATGTCCGACTGGAGTGTCCAAGTAGAGTGTCGGAGTGGAATGTCCAAGTGGAATGTCCAAGTGCAGTGTCCAAGTGGAGTGTTCAAGTGGAATGTCCGAGTGGAATGTCCAAGTGGAATGTCCAAGTGGAATGTCCGAGTGGAATGTCCAAGTGGAATGTCCAAGTGGAAGTCTCCACTCAGAGTGTTTATGCAACTGTCCAACGAACTGCTGTGATACACGCGGGAATCTCGGATCGAAACTACTCACAACGGAATTGAAGCGGTCACAGGCGACTGGAGAGATGAACACGCGGTGTATGGGTTGAGTATGAATTATTGGGGATGCTGTGTTGCCTGTCGCCGCCTCGTCTGCTGAGACTACAGCTGCTGCTGCTGCTGCTGCAGGCTCCATCTCCGCTGTGGTCGTGTTATCGGGCGTGTTGTTCGCGTGGAATCGTCGCCCATGACGCATGCTCGCCTATACTTTGAAGGCAGCGGTATTGCCAATACGTGTTGAGTTTGCGTCACATCGTCTGGAGCAGTGAGCTTCCCGTCTGTAGACTTCACTGTTGGACCGTGAGCTCCGATCCACTCGCTCAGGTAGAGGATGCCGCAGCTGCTGCAGTTCCACGCATTGGACGTCAGAGTTATCGTCTCCAGCTGGGGCTTGCAATGACCACTCTTTAGATTAATCAGCGATGAATATAAAATCGAATCCCGTGCTCGCGACACGTGTATTCAATCGTAAATCGTGCGTGCGGGTGAATCAATGAGCTGATTTAAGTCGAATGATAGTGGATCAGAGATTACGGTCCAACAGTGAAGTCTGCAGATGGCAAGCACTCCGCTCCAGACGATGTAACATGCAACACAACAAACACATCCGGCAATAACACTGCCTGAAATTGCAACGAATGTATAATATTCGACGATTCGGGCAATGGTCCTTCTCTGCAGCACATGAGACTGGAAGTGCACCGATTAAATGTGCATTATAAGGATGGTAATTAATGTGTTTAGGAAGATATGAAGATTATTTGATTTAAATATCCATTATAATGAGCAGTTTTAAATGTACATGAGAATGATATTTTATTACATTGAGTTTCACATATGCTTCAATGGATTGTATGCACAGTATGTGACACAGTAACAGGCTACACCTGGATACGAATCAACTGCAGAGTGTTCCTAATGGGGCGTTTGACAGCCTCACCAACCTGGAGACCATGAATCTGCTTGACAACCCCTGGGATTGTAACACTGAGGAGACGATAGACTTCAAGCAACGCTGAGAACAAATCTACTCACTAGGGTGTGAATCCAGCTTCCATAAACATTTAGCGGCCCACACGTCAACACAGCCCTTAGCCCTGTCCAATAACAATGCGAAAGGTACAGCAATCTGGTTTCTCACAGTCCGTCTGTACCACGAATACGCAACGTGGCTAAAACAACGTGTAGTTAGGTACGAGGCAGATAGGTGTAGTGCAGGTGAGAGGTTTGTTGGTTGGCATGTGTAGCTAAGAGGGGTGTATATGGTTGTGTATGATGGTAGGTTAATGCAGATTAGACGTAGGTTATATTGGTTGAAGGTGACTAATTCGGAGTCCAGCTATAATGTTGGTATCGTTTGGTGAAATTAAAAACTTTGAGATGTGACCTGTTGCATCAACTTCGATGTGATCGGAGATATGGAATGAAATATATAATGTCCTATATTGCTTATATATCAACCTAACAGACCCCACATTATAAGTTGTAGCGCTTCTAGCCCATTGGGAACAGGGTTACCGATTGTATAAGTTTCTCAACCCAGTTTAATGCACGTCTGGGTGCTTCCTTCTGATTGTGATCGCATTTTGTCGCAATCTCAGACTGGTTTACTGCTAAATGTATTTTCAGGATGAAGCAATGAACCCGCGCACAATGAGGTCGATTCCTGGCCACGACCAACATCGGTGGCGAGTGACAGCTGAACTGGTCCCGAGGCTGAGCCTCAGCAGCCCTCCCTGACCGACGTGGTGAAGTATGGTCAAGGTAACCGCATGAAGGGATTATGATAAATATATACACGAACGATGTTCTGTGTATCTTGGTGGGTATTTAGCAATGCGATTCGGCAAACCACGTAGAGGTTAGATCGTTCTCAATCGATCTCTTCTGATGTGGAACTAACGAGGGGTAGTCGGTGCGTCGTCTACACGAGGCGTTCAAGTTAAGCGACGAACCCCAGTCCCAGGGGTTGTTGTCAAGAAACATGGTCTGCAGATTGGTGAGGCTGTCGAAAACCCCGTAAGGAACGCTCTGCAACTTATTCTCACTCAGGTACAGCAGGCTCGTGAACGCAACGCATGAAGACCATTCACGTTATATTAGCGATGCATTTGACGAACGATACAACGCATTTAACTACTTACACTAACAATGCATTTGACTAATTGCACTGCCATTGCATTCGATTCAATTACCCTAGCATTGAATGGGGCGAATTACACGAACTATGCATTTGACTAATTACACTGGAGATTACTTTTACTTCTTAAACGAGCATTGGATAAGACCAATTGCACGAACGATGCACGTGACCAATTAAAGCACCGCGTATAGAAGCAGTAACATGTCAGGTCGTGAGATTGCAACGCTCCATATCCACGGCGATAGTGGGGACGTTCAGCATAATTATACTGCGTATGTTTAATTTACATTACAATGGAAATAACTAATACGACGATATCCCTGCGTTACTGATGATTGTCAGCGTTGGTCGCGGTGTCACAGAGAGCGAAGATAATGCGATGCGTTTCCCTGGAGCCTGAACCTGAATACCAATCAGCTGCAGAGCGTTCCGCACGGAGCGTTTGACCGCCTCGCCAACCTGCAGACAATTTTACTCAACAGCAACAACTGGAACCGCAGCGGCCACCGGTCCCTTATGCTGAGCTTGCGAGATCTGACGAGACCGGGCGCTTACATTTCCAAATGGAAGTTTCCACTCAGAATATTTTATGCAACTGACCATTGCACGTGGAGTTTGCTTTGAGACACGCGGGAATCTGGGAGCGAAACAACTCTCAATGGAATTTAAATGATCACAGGCGACAGGAGAGATGGACACGCGGTGTATGGTTTGAGTATTAATTACGCCAGATGCTGCCGTGCATGCCGACCCCTCCTCCTCCACCGCAGCTCTTGCTGCTGCCGATAATGATGATGATTATGATGATGACTATGATGATTCGGATGATGTTAGTATTGCTCCTCAAACAGCGATAGTATTGGTTACAGGGCGAGAACAATTCATATTTAATTCTGAGCGATGTGTGGTTTCCAATAAAGCAATATTTAGTATTATATATAGCGACCTCGTCGACACCAATATCATTACAGATCATAGATACTATTATTGATCAATGTTAGCAATCACATGAGCATGATGATTGTTCTACTGCAACTGAATATCAATAACAATCAGCCTCGCACAGCTCACGAGTGTGGAGCTCCACAGCAAGCCCTGGGAGTGTCTCTGTCGAGACTGCCAACGCAGCGTTCATGTAGCACGTGGCCTTACCCCGCACCTCCGATTAGCAGTTGGCTACGTACGGTGCGAAACAAGTTCTACATACACACTTGCCTCTCGTGAGGAGGAGGTGGAAGTGTTCAAACCGTACGCATTGGCAACTTTGACTTTACGGATCAGAAGCATGGACATTAAACTGAAGACACTGCAACTCAAACTGAAAAGTGCGCAGACAATGATGGCGAGATGCAGATTCAGAAGTCGTTCCATCCTCTGGGCATTTTGATTGCACGCTGTAGACACGAAGAACTACAACAACAGCAGCAGTGGCGTGTCTTCCGTGGTTTCAGACAATGCGTTCTCTGTTTGCGTGTTAACCTTTCCCTTCATTGCCAATATACTATAGATAACTATGATAGTGATTACATTGTTTGATGGGGCGATATCAATGAAAAGGAATATATGGCTGAAAAATGCGCAAATAAGCTGAGGACATTTCACGCTTGGAATTACACGGAGACAGGAAGAGGGGGGCTCATGGAGCAGAGGTAAAATAAACCTTGAATTGAAAGTTATCATCAAAGTAATTGTCAAAGCAACGTGGCCTTGGACAGGGATATCAGCAGAAGGGGTGAAGGCCGACGGACAAGACCTGTGACGGAATGGAAGCAAAAGGAGCGCAAGCAGCCTAGAAGACGCCCAAGAGGGAGACGAGTGAAGGAGATCAGCTGTCGTGTAGCGGCAGACGAGGGCCATGGTTGCATCACGACGGTGCATGGGGAGAGGCGAGGAGTGAAATGCCCTGCAAAGATCCCACGTGACCAGTGTGGTGATTAGGAGCTCATGGGCCTTTTTTGCCGGTGAAGCTGTCACTCTTTGGAGCGCTTTGCCAATAAGACAATCATCGTCGCTCGAGATATTTAAGCCTGTCTGGAATACGCACCGCTTTAAATTCGCCATGAACCCTATTAGTTCTGGTCGTGTACCCTGCACGTTCTGTCTATTTCCTGCTTTTCATACACGCTGGTGGCGCATTGGGATCTACAGATTAAATGCGCCACTTTACAAATGTAAATTATTATGATCATCATGTGTGAATGCATGCTGTTATCTGTGTATGTACATATATATGATTTATATAAATATAGATGCACCATCAGACTGTTGATCCAGACGGTGTAACGTGCTCACGGGGCTCGAGTGCTGTCAGAGAAATTATAAAAGAGGGCGGATGGTCAGAGGCAGAATTCAGTGAGCACCCCGAGCTAAGCCAGCCGCTGATATGAGCGGAAACTCCACACAACCACAACCACCACAACACGCACCAGCACCACTATTAATCACTCCACATTTACCACCACTACCACCATCACCAACCACCACCGTCTATCACGACACCACATCTACCACCAGCACCATTATTCACAATCACAACATCTGTTACAAGGGAGACCCGAGTCATAAAAAGGAGAGCAAAAGAACAGAGCAATGAGATACATGAACGCAATACGAATGAAATGGTATGAATATGCTCACTGTAGTAAGCTATGTAGGCTATATTCGTATGTGGAATATAAGGTTAATAATGCGCCTTTATAGAGTGCTTCAATGCCCAAGCGACACAGCGAGCCTGACATCACGCCCCATCTCGTCTCGTCCAATGCCCTGCTGCAGTGTAGCCAAAAGGACCCCAGGGCATTAGTCGTCCAGTAGAGGGCAATGTTACGATGTGGGGTTTTTGCCAAATTGAGTACTGTATTTTCATTTTCAACTTTGGTCCACGACTCCGGCACAAATGACCTATTTTTTTAAATGAATATATACATATAGAAGATTGTGGGCTCTTTAGCGTCCACTGCGAAGCAGATGGTACTTCGTGTTTTGTTGGCTTATGGATCCATCGTATTTACCAGGGCGGCCGTTGGTTTCGAACCACGAATAAATGCAACAAGCCGGCACACTCGGCCGTGTGAGAAAAAATGCCTTCGACTGCTGACAAAAGTCACTTGACTCGGCTACTGAGCCTCTATATTCATCTTATTAAAAGCTTTACATATTATTATTATCATTGTTGCTGTTGTTCTTCATTGAATGGGCTCGTATCTGCTGTAGACAGCTCCGTCTATACTGATAACCAACGAACGCGAAGTCTCTCCCATCCGGCGTGTTTGACAGACTGACTAAGCTCAAGGAGCTGTGGCTGAATTCCAATCAGCTGCACTGGGTTCTCCATACGTGCCCCTTGTTCTGCCTGAGCATAGCAGTCAATGATGTCCCATGCTGCGATAACGTTGACTAAACCATGCGTGTATAATAAACAGCCCCATCGTCAAAAACATTGCTGGATGAACGCCTCTGCATGCATCTGTGTCAGACGTGTGGATTGTTTGAGCACATTTAAAAAAAATGTATTTGTCCATGCCAAATTTAGTGAAAGGAAATGTATTTCATGGACATTCATTGATGTTTCTCGCAGTATTTCCGATTTCTCCTGTAACGCGGTTGTTTTTTAAAGCAGATTTTGTTGTTATAAAATGATATTTGTGCGTCCCTCCCAACCTGCAGACGATAATCCTCACCGCCAACACGTGGAACTGCGGCAGCTGTGACATCCTGTACCTGAGCCAGTGGATCCGAGTCCATTCTCAAACGGTGAAGTCAGTGGATGGCAAGACGGTTGATCCTGACGATGTAACACGGTAGCAGCACAAACAAGTGCCGTGGTCTCATGGACGACAGCGTCATTGTATGTGCTCGCGCCAAGAGACACGATAATTCACGCACAGTCAAACGTGGCGCAGCACGATGAGCGATTGATCCAAAATAGCGATGGCACGAGGCTCCAGACCGTACGAAGCCAATGGCTCACTTCGCCGCCCACCAGAAACCCCTCTGCAACTTATTGTTTTCCAGATCCAGCCGTTCCAGGTTGCCGAGTTTGTCAAATACGCCGTCGGGAACACTCTGCAGCTGATTGCGATCCAGGTGGTCTAACGACTGAGAGTAGCCGTTTCTCTCTGAGCAAAGTGTCCAATGACAAAAAATGCATTTAATTACAAGATAAGTAACAAAATTATTCATGTTAGCACTGCACACCACAATTACCGTGCCACTTGATTATGACAATGCGAAACAGGATCACGACAAGCCATACAAAAATGCGGGAATGCATTGCTTAACATTTCTGATTAGGCTCAAAGTACGTTTACAGTCCTTGGTCAATCCACTGCTGGATGGCTCCTGGAGGTTATTTTGCTATCGTTCACCACTTTGGACATTGTGAGTTGTTGAAGGTGAGGATCATAGGCAAGGAAACATAGAAGTGCAGAACAGCAATGGTATTTCCTGCACTGCCCCGCAGCCTGTAACGCCTGCTGTTTGTGCATGGTGGCCACCTACCCAAACGGCGACGAGTTCCTGAGATCTGACGAGATCGAATACATTTTGGTTAATTTGTTAATCGGCGTCAAATAGCAGTACTCATTGATAATAGGGCACAGCAATGGAAACTAGGCACGTACCAACAGCATACTTGCTGTACTGCGGTACGACAGCCTGCAATGATTTTAGCATAGCAAAAAAATATCAGCATTATTCGTATTGTGTATCTGCTGTGTTTGAAGGTGAGGTTATGAGGTGAACACTCCTTTCAACAGTAATGCTTATGTAGAAATGTTGTTGTCTGTGTTGATCAGCATACCGAGGCCTTCATCGGTTGGCAACCGAAGTCGCACGTGGGTCGTCTGCAACCCACAGCAGCGATGTCACAGTCCTTGCAAAGTCTTCTCGTTGCACGTCGCTGTGATTGGTTGGATACG